TAGTTATGTGTTTATTTTTTTAATAATTTTTTTTTTGCAATATTCTTTCCATCTTATTTCAAAGATTGCTGAAATAAACTTATACATTTAAATAACTTTTTATATTTTCATCTTCAAAATCAATTCGCTTAATAAAAATTTTTTATTGCAAAAATCATATTAGAATTCGAAGGTAGAGGGTTCGTTTGCAAGGAAAATATAAACACAATAGAGAAGGTCCGTTAGTTTTGTGTAACTGAAAATATAGTTTTGTGAACGTATAAATAACATCAAATCCCTCTGTCTTCGCTATTTAGTAAATTTTGATAAGAACTGCTAAATTTTTAATGTGAAACTATACATTAGTTTTATTTGTATTTATTTCCATACTATTATTTTATTATTTATTATGTTTAAAATATAGCACCTCTTTTGCGACATTCTTTTAGCTCTGTCTTTTATGTTGCATTAAATGGTCAACAGTCTTCAATCTAAATGTAACTACCTTGGCTTGAATGTCAACTCTCTCATAACGCATATTATAAATTCGACATATGCGCAGAGATAAAAATAGAGATAAAATTGTGAAGATACCATAATTGCATACTTGTAAGTTCTAGAAAGTCATTTACAATAACATAGATCTTCTTGCAAATAATCATTTTCATTTAACTCTTTTGCACGATTTCACAATTGAACTGCAAGATTGCGCGCCTGAGCTAATCTTGAAATTGATATAAACCTAAAAGGAATGGCATCATATTTATGACGAACCTCCCGACATCGGAGCTAGCTACCAGCAACCGGGGGTAATCAATCTGGGACAGAAGACGATCGCTGAGCAAGACGGAGAAGAAGGACACAAGCTTTAATTAGGAAATTCTAAACAAGGAAATTCATCACGGATAATAGTTATCTAGATGAAGAATGAAAAAAAGAAGGTGGAGAAGAGAGAACTTTGAGCGAAGAGAGAGTGAACTTAAGTGTGTAATTTATTGTGCGTAGGTCATGAAGTATATTTTTCTCCACATCCGTTTTCTCTACTTAGATGAAATCCAACAAAGATATTAAAACATTACATTTGGTTTTTTGATTTAAAATTTGCACTCCAATAAAGATACCAAATCAGTGTACTTTGTGTTAAACTGTCAATCCCACTACATTTGATGCATTACCCCTTTCTTTTAAATAAATAATGATCATATAACATGAAATGAAAAGACATTATAACAATTAGTGTACCTTGTTTTTTTTTAAAAAAAAAAAAATGTTGTCCACAGTGAATCTAATTTGCGATTTGTACTATTTATCTACAATTCTCAAATTTAATGTGGACAACTTTTTACGAATAGAGAGATTACTATTTTTAAAACCAGATAAAAGATTGTTCATATCAAAGGAACTAGAAATGGCAAGGAGTAGTATTTCGTGCCATATAGGGTGCTTCGGCAAAAAACAAAAGAATTACATAGAAAAAATGTGGATTAAATTTTTTTTTTTTGAGGACATAAATACTTTAGCAAATTCGAAAATTCAATATAAGAAAGTCCAATTTCTGAAGTTCAAAAGTCCGAATCAAGCCGAAGTAGTACTTCAACGATAGATACATCACTTTGGGATTTGCAAAATCTGGATATACCATACTTTCGGATTTCAGAAATCAAAAATCATTTAGATTTCTAAATTCTTTTATTCTTTTTTTTTTAGCAAACTAGATATGTGTGTGAAATAGGGGGTGGGAGGGTTGGACAGGGTGATTAGGGGATTGGTAAAGGGGATGGTTATTACCAAGAGGTCGAGGGTTCGATATTCGCTGGGGCTATCCAATTTTTATTTTATTTTTTTCTAAAAAAAGATATGTGCGTGAAATAAGTTATTCCCATGCCAAGTGATTGCATTTAAGTGGCCAAAAAGAAATTTCCAAGAATATATATGCCACATTTATTTATTTCGCGTATGTAAATGATAAACTTTGAAGCATTACTGTTTAAATTAAAACCACTTACACTAAATTTGAAACTTTATAAAATTTAATGGCTAACTTTTAAAGTAAAAAAAAAAAAAAAGAAGCGATCGAGCGTTTTTTGGAGTGGAAACTTTTCGAATTCCAAGGACAATTAAGAATGATCATAATATGAAAACAAAGGACGTTATAAACATTAGTTTACCCTGTTTTTAAAAAAAGTTATCCAAATTGAATTTAATTATCGACTTATACTATATATGTACAATTATCATAATTCAATGTCAACAATTATGTAAGAACAGAAAAAATACTATTTTTAAAACAAGATAAAAGATTCTTAATATCAAACGAACTAGAAATGACAAAGCGCAGTACTCGGGCTTTATAGGGTGCTTCGCAAAAAAAAATGCAGATAAAGAATTTTTTTTTTTGTGGGAATAAATAGTTCTTTCAGAGTTGCCGAATCCGAAAGTTCAAAATAAGAAAGTATGATTTTGGTAGTTCAAAAGTAAGAATCGAGCCAAAGTAGTACTTTAATGATTGAGAATAATTTTGTTTGAACTGGTTCCCATCACTCCCTATTAGCATTGAAAGTGCAATGGTCTATATTAAAATATTGCAAATAACCTAACATTGGCTTGATGATTGAGCGAAGGGTGTGAGATCATTTTTGAAATTTTAACAAACCATGAAAACGTTTTCAAGGTAAGAAAGAAACCGAAAAGAGCTATAAGAAACTTCAAATTCATGAACATAGTCTAAAATGATACAACAAACTTCTTCAACTTCCTATGATCCCTTCAAACGACATTCTAGCAAACCGAAAATGAAGCAAATGGTATTAGTTGCCGCGCTGGATTCTGGCATATCTTAAAGAAGCGCGATTATTAATCATCCATCTTCCTCCACCAGCCACGGGAACGTACAAAATTCAATTCCAAAACACAGACAACAATCATTAGAGGAAGAAGCACAAATGTACCAATTTAGGTTTTGATTTTACCTGATCATCCTAAACTTGAACATGTTTATTGCTTTCGTCCACAAGGGCCATTGATTTCGTGAATGTGAAGAAATTGGATTCACTTGTCACCCTAACTCCAAGTTATGCCATATGCTGGATTCACTTGTCACTTGTCACCCCAAGTTACATATCTTCCAACATCTAGGAAAATGATTTCTTCAGTCTTAGTGAAGAACAAAGGCCTCTCAACTCCAATATATAATGTTATTGTATAAAATTTAGTCCACAAATCCACATTCCAATACTCCGTCATCACCCACAAATCCCCGTTCCCCCAAACATAAATGCCGGCATTGTAAGGACAGTAAGATAAATCCGCAAGCAAACCCCTAAATACTCCTATGAACTCCAGTTCACATAACCTTAAAATCCTGGAATCCAAAGGCACGGGAACTTCCCTGAACAATTCATCCCTGAAATCTAAAGCCCAGATCCTAGCTTTATAATTTGCCCTTAGGTTATCACCCGAAAGAACTTTTCAGGAAAGTACAGTAGCGACAAATACTTCTGAAGTTGGAGCAGAAATATACCAAGGGAAAAACCTACTTCTAAAATCCGATTTCGGCAGTTCAAAAGTCCAAATGTAGCCAAAGTAGTATTTAAATGATGGATACATCACTTTCGAATTTGTCAAATCAGGATCTACCGTATTTTCAGATTTTTATCCGAAATCACCCTACGAATTCCAAGGACAATTAATCATAATCACAACATGAAAAGAAAAGACATAATAACAAACATTGTACCCTTTTTTTTAAAATAAAAAGTTTTTCTTAATGAATTTAGTTTGTGATGTACTATTTATCTACAATTCTCAAATTTCAATATCGACAATTTATTAAGAACAAGAAGTGTACTATTTTCCAAACTAGATGAATGATTCTTAATATCAAACAAACTTGAAATGACAAAGCGCAGTACTCATGCTTTATAGGGTCCTTCGCAAAAAAATATATTAAATAAAATAAATGTGAACAAAAACATTTCCCTATTTTTTGTTGACATAAATAGTTCTTTCGGACTTTCCAAATCCCAAAGTTCAATATAACAAAGCCCGATTTCGAAAGTAAAAAAGTCCAAATCTATTGGAATTTGTACTCAACGACAGATACATCATTTTAAAATTTGTCAAATCTGGATCTACTGTACTCTCGGATTTCTGATATCCAAAATCCCCCTACTTTCAGGTTTCTGAATTTTTTTTTTGAAGCAGCAAAATAGATATGTGTTTGAAATAAGTTGTTCCTATGCTAAGTGCAAACGTCCACAAAAGAATTTACAAGAATATATATACCTTTTTTTTAAAAAAAAACAATTTGACTAATAATAAAAAAAATAGGGCAGCGAATATACGAAACCCTATATCAAAATACAAATTAGATTTTAAAGTAAAGTTGAATCCTTGTTCAATCTAGCAGAGCGACGAACTTGAACTCTCTTTTTAGCCTTGGCTTTTTTCGATAGATTGTGATAAGTTGGAGCAGAAAGTTCACTGTAAAAAGACTCTTGTTCCTTTGCATATTCCATATCAAAGTCGTCATCTTCAGAAGCATGATTTAGTCTACCTTCGGAATTTATTTCTTCAATCGAATAATTTGGAATAAAAGTCTCAGTGTTCTTCCCGATTTCCGTATCATCCTTGGACAATTACGATTTTGCAACCGTAATGGGCAGTAAAACTTGTAAAAGAGGCTGAGGAGAGATGGTAAATTCTGAGGCTTCCGGATTTAACTTTTTAACGTTGCTGTTAAAAGAGTTATTTGAGGAAGAGATTCCTTCCTTATTTGAGGGAGAAGAGCCGGATGCAGAAGAGTTATTTGACGCTGACTTTTCCTCACTTGAGTTTTAAAGAGTCTTATGCACAATTGGCGCTGAGATCACGGGAGTCTGCTCACCTTGTTCCGCACTTGAAGAAGGAAAAGATGGAGTCAGTTTCGGATTCAAACCTGGACGACCTTGGAGATTTGAAATTGAATCATTTTGGCTGGAGATTCCGCACATCTTGGGCGTGGACTGTGCATCAGCGGGATTCTATTCCAAGGGCGTAATATTCGGGAGATTGCCGGCTGTCATTGGAGATTCTAGCTGCCGTTCCACCTTTGACGATGTAGCAGCCATCGAAGAAGACCGAATCGATATGGATTTTTTAGTTCCAATCATCGGATTATCAGCAACAATAGAAACCAGTTGAGCAAGAGCAGTGGCGGCACCAAAAGTTTCAGTCGCGGCGTTGAGTTGAGTCGAAGTTTCAACGGCCTGATGCACCCCAAGCGAATCTTCAGTGCCTTCCTGGGCTGCTGAGACTTGTTGAGCGTCGTTGATTTGTAGAACATTGACTTCATTGATTCGCTCTGAGATCGGCGGTAAGAATTGAGGGGAAGATGATTTTTCTCCCGTAATCAGTGGAGAAGCAACAACATTGGCGGTTCACTGTTCAGGAATAGCATCGCTAGTTTCTTGTTCGGCAGTGATGGTTTGTTGATCTTCCAACAGCAGCATAACAGGGGGATCCTCTGGTTGGATCGCTGATTCCACCGGCCCATTTTGTTCATGCGCAAAAGTCTCTACTTTCCGAGGTTCACCTTGCGTAGTCGCAGCCGGCTTATGTGCGACTTTCAATGGATTGTTTGTTTCCCGCGTGTTCTTTTACTTGGCTTGGGATGATTGCTCTAACTGCTGTTTCGGATGATGCCAATCAATCTTTTTGTGATGATGGTGAAATGTGTTTTGTCGGCAGGAATGGACATCATGTCCAATTTTTTTACAATCGACACAATATTGAGGCATGTTCTCATAAAAAATTGATTGAAAATAGGTCGATCCTTCAACGCCCAGTCTGATGCGAATTGGATGCTCCTTGAGAAGATCCAGTTCCACACAAACTCGTGCTACCGATGGTCGTGACATGTTAAGAGTTGGAACGTCGATTTGAAGGGGGGTTCCGATAATGCTAGCAAGTTTCCACAAATATTCTTTGTTGAAACGATGAATTGGGAGACCTTCTAGGGATATCCAAACAGGGACGATTGAGCTTTCGTGCGCTGGATTAAAATCCGTTATCCACTTTAGGACCCGCATTCGATGTTTGTCAAATCTCCACAAACTTTTGAGCCAGCAACAGTGAAAATCTTCCTCTAGTTCAAAGCGAATAAGGATGTGTCGCTAATCAATCGATCCAAGAGAAAAACTTCCTTTGAAGCCGATAGTCTGGAATTCTCTTCTCAAAAATTCCATTTTTGGCCGGCCTTTAGTAAACTTTCCTACAAGAGCAAGGTGGAATGGAGCAGCCAATTCAGCATCTTCTTCTTTTGTAAGAAGAAAAGTTGGCTCACCGTTGAAAGTCGTTGGTTCGGAGAGTATCATAGTCGAATGATGTTTGAATGAGGGTTCATGTATGGCTTTTGGATTTGCCCCAGATCCTAGAATCTGAGCAAAGGAGGCCTTTTGGATGTGCTTGGTAGGTGGTGGTCGGCCTATGGCCAGTGGCGGTTCGCCGGCATAGGAGAAAAAAGCTAGAAGGAAATCACTCCGGCTTAGAGAGGATTCCGGCGAGTTTGATGGGTTCAATATTTCACAAGAATATACATACCGCATTGTTTATTCGGCGTATGTAAAATGTAAAACTTTGAAGCATTACTATTTGAATTAAAACCACTCAAACTAAATTCGAAACACTACAAAATTCAATAGGTAACTTTCTAAAGGAACAAAAAAAAAAGAAGCGATCGAGCTTCTTTTGGAGTGGAAACTTTTTGAATTCCAAGGACAATAAATAATGATCATAACATGAAAAGAAAATATGTTATAAAAATTAGTGTACCCTGCTGTTAGAAAAAGTTATCAACAATGATTTTAGTGAGCAATTTATACTGTTTATGTACAATTTTTAAACCTCAATGAAAAAAGTAAAGTAAACGTAGACAATTTCTTTTTTTTTTTTTTTTGTAGCCATAAATGGTTCTTTGAGATTTGCAAAATCCTAAAGTTCAATATAAGAAAGTCCAATTTTGGAAGTTCTAAAGTACGAATCTGGCCAGAGTAATACTTCAACAATAGATAATAATTTTGTTAGAACTGGTTCCCATCACTCTCTACTAGCATTGCAATTGCAATGAACTATATTAGAATATTGCAAATGACCTAACATTGGCTTGATGATTGAGCGAAGGTTTTGAAATCATGTTCGCAATTTTTAAAAACCATGAAAACGTTTTCAAGGTAAGAAAGAAACCAAAAAGACCGATAAGAAACTTTAAATTCATGAATGTAGTCTGAAATTATACAACAAACATTTTCAACTTCCTATGATTCCCTCAAACGACATTCTAGCAAACTGAATATGAACCAAATGGTATTAGTTGCCTCGTTGTATTCTAGCATCTTGAAGAAACGGGATTATTAATTGTCCATCTTCCTCAACCAGCCATGGCAACCTACAAAATTCAATTCCAAAACACAAACAATAATCATTAAAGGCTGAAGCACAAATGTATAAAAGTTGTTAACAAAACACACTGCCTATTTTTGTTTTGATTTTATGTCATCATCCTAAACTTGAACAGGTTTATTGCTTTCGTCCACACGGGCCATTGATTTGGTGAATGTGAAGAAATCGGATTCTTTTGGCACCCTAACTCCCAGGTATGTGATATGCTGAATCTCTAACTTTCAAACTAAAGCATATCTTCCAACATCAAGGAAAATGAATTCTTCAGTCTTAGTGAAGAACAAAGGTTGCTCGACTCCAAAGTCTAATGTTATTGTATAAGTCCACGAATCCAAATTCCCATACTGCATCATAACCCACAAATCCCCGTTTTACCCAACATACTTGCCGACATTGTAAGGACAGTAAGATAAAACCACAAGTAAAACCCGAAATACTCCTAAAAACTCCAGCTCCCATAACCTTAAAATACCGGAATCCAAAGGCACACGAATCTCCCAGAACTATTTATTCCTAAAATCGAAAGCCAAGATCTTGGCTTTATAATTGGCCCCTTGGTTATCACCCAAAAGCACTTTCCAGCGTAGTGTTGCAACGATAAATACTTCTGAAGTTAGAGCAAAAATATAGCGAAGGAAAAACCTGCTTCCAAAATCCGATTTCAGAAGTTCAAAGTGCAAATGTACCCGAAGTAGTATTTCTATGATAGATACATCACTTTCAGATTTGTCAAATCTGGATCTAACGTACTTTTGGATTTTTGAAATCCGACACAACCCTACCTTCGGACATCTGATTATTCTTCTTTTTTTTATGTAGCAAAATAGATATGTGTTTGAAATAAGGTGTTCCTATGCTAAGTGATTACATTTAAAGCGTCCAAAAGTCAATTTCCAAGAATATATACCGCATTTGTTTATTCATCGTATGTAAAATGTAAATTTTAAAGCATTACTCTTTAAACTAAAACCACTCAAACTAAATTTGAAACACAATAAACCTTAATGGCTACATTTTTAAAGGAAAAAAAAAAAAGCGATTGAGTTTCTTTTGGAGTGGAAGCTCTTCGAATTCCAAGAACAATAAATCATGATCACAAAATTAAAAGAAAAGACATTATAACAATCATTGTACCTTGTTTTTTTTTATAAAAGAAAAAAAAATTGTCCTTAATGAATTTAATTTGTGATGTACTATTTATCAACAATTCTCAAAATTCAATATCGACAATTTATTAAGAACAAGAGTCCACCCACCTTTTCACTTCTCTTGCTCTTTTAAAATCTTTACGTATAAAATTATATAAAAAAGGCTACAATGCAGAAAAGGGTCGAATTACAATTTATGGGCGCTGAATTATTTGTGATGCAATTATGAAAATTTCTCTGTCAAATGTAATATTACTCTTTTGTCACTTTTTAATGACCCGGTATGTTTCCTACTATGGTGTTTTAATTTTTTTGAAACTTACTTTGTATCTCTTGATAGCCCATTTTTTATATACATCTACTCAACCTAGTTTAAAAGTAACCCAAATAAATAAAAGGTTTTTCAATGCAATCGTTTAATAAAACATATACATGTGAATTAAATTTTTAAAGTTACAGAACTGATGATTTTTGTGAATATTGTAGATTATTTTTTAATATATCACAATTCTTTGTTTCTGTATATTCTTTTTTCATTTCAGTTGTACTATAATATTGTCTCTATGAAAAATTATTTAGGGGAACGCACGAAACACATCTAATTTAGATAGTCCTTTATTATTAAAGGGAATTACCAAACTCTTCATATCACAATAAAACTAGTCAAATTTAGTTATTTGTCGCAAATATACAATTAAGTTCCTAAAATAACCTCATAATATATATTAATAATGACACTTGTTGAAATAGTTTTTTTTTTTATTGTCAATCTGTTGAGGGGTAAATATTGAAGAAACCATATTTAATGTCCTCTTGGAAATGTAAAATTTCTTTTATGAAGGGAAATGAAAATCATGTTCAAATAAGTACATTGTTCAATTTCGACAAAAAAATAATACTACTTCTATTTTTTTGATCTATCGCACAGGATATGCACAGGGATTAAAGAAACAATTATTGAGACTTTAATTTTCAAATAATATACTACCTTTCTTACCCAATTTTCAAATTTTTTTTCTTTGCATTATTTTGATCCAAATTCATTATGTTTCATCGACCCGGTACCGCTATTAGAGAATGCAGCTACTCTATTCTTGGTCCTCTCCTTAAACCGCTGGAGTGCAAACTCCTCGAATTTGAAGGGCAATAAATAGAAATCATCATATGAAATTACTCAATATTTCCTTTCACCCTCGATTCTCACGTCAAACTTCTCCCGAATTCCCCTTCTTCTTCTTCAAGCTTACGTTCTTCGCAACTTTAAAACCTCCATTTTTGCTGTTTCGAAGCTTCAAACACCAATCGGCCTCAATCAGTTTGATGAACCTCAACAACACCATCAATCTCTCCGGCAATTGGCAAGGAAGGTGCATTTTTACGACCTCGTATTAGCAGGAAGAAAGAGGAGTGTGGGAACTGAAGCTTGTGTCCAGAGTGCGGGAACTGAAGCTTCAACTGGAAAAACGAATGTGCAGCAGCGACTCAAGCGATAGAAACTGATACTGGAGGCAAACATTAGGAAGAAGCTCGTAGAAATGGAGACTGCTTTGCTTGAAGGAAACGCTAAGGTAGAGAGGACTAAAGCTGCTCCACAAGGATTGGAAGTGGAGAATTCCACTCTTACGTAGGAGAGTGGTTGCTGCCAAAGCCCAACTAGCTGGGACGGCAGCTACTTTCGAGGAGTTATTTAGAAGGCAGAGGGAACATCTGATGTAGTTCCGGTCACTGGAGACACAAAAGTCGATACGTGCAGAGACACTAGCTGCTGAAAAGAGCGAGTTCAATTACCGGAAACAGGAAGTAGAGCGGGCTGAAGAAGAAAAATATCAACTGCAGGCTAGGTTAAATTATGTTGTGAAGAAAGAACTGGATGAGATATTGCTGCTGGAAGTCACCCATCTTAGGGATTTGAGAGAAGACACTGAAACTGCAGGAAACGTGGAGATGG